TTAATACATTGCTGCTATAATCACTGACAGTAACCGACTCTGGAGATTAAATGTTTGTGTTTCACTGTCAACACAAAACATTTTAATGTGCCATTGTATAGTGTGTTTGGTTGACAGAAGAGAAATCTCAATCAAATTTGATTTCGGGCTGCAACACTAGTAAAAGGAAAATGGCAGTGGGGTAATTATCATTTATAGGCAGCATTCTTTGGCCAAATGCTACCTGACAAGCAGCTTCTAAGGCCTGACGCAAACCCTAAGTATGTGAATGCAAATTATATTCTGTTTTCTGCAAATCCACAGCCCTGCTGTACATTCCCTGCATGCATATCTGAGTCTGTCTGTCTATAATAAACCAGAGTCATCAAGGGGACAATATGGGACAAGCCAATCTGAAGGAGAGCACAAATCAAAGAAGACAGCTTCCTCCCATGTTGTCTGCTTTAGCGCCTCTGTTACAGTTTGACACAGCAGGTCGCACCTGCGGTGCCTTGACTTTGCTGCTGACACGTTTTAGAACACAGCATTGTGTGGAGTTGTCATTCCTCAAGCATATGCAATCATGCTCTTATGTCAGGTATGCTTTTTGACACAAGAGAAATAGTTTTTCCCTCGGTGGCTTTAGAAGGAGAAGACATTTTTAAAACCCTTAGTCAGTGTCTGAAAAGCAGAAATTGTTTCTCAGTCTACAATTACATATAGAAGATCTGCTGTGCCAGTAGATAAACAAGTAAACTCTAGTGAATAAAGAGTGAATGCACCTGTGTCGGCCCTATGATGAGACTTTGTCACTTGACAGTTTGACAAACATTTTCTCAGACTGTTAGATGGACTATTGGCAGTGTCACTGAAGGAAGAACAATAAGAAAACGAAAAAAATAGGGAATGTGCACACAAGAATGTTCTCTTTTTGCTGTGGCCATCACATGCTGCAGATAAATGTCTTTCTCTGTTTACGCTGAGTTTACCACTGTTTACAAAGCTGCCGATGAATAATGTAATTGTTCTACCACTCACTGTATTTATTCTGCTGAGGACGGTTTGTCTGTTTTCTAGACAGCCAAGAGGACTTTTGGCAGGGACCTTACTCTTCAACTTCTACTTGATTATTTTGTCCCCCCCAAAAAAGTACTATATGATTGAAAACTGCTGTTTTCTAAACATTTCGACGAGGTCCAATCCCACAGTCATGGTGATTGGTGGCAGCCAAGCCAAACCCCATTCTAGAAGGCATTACTGATTA